ATTTAAAAAAAAAGAAATGCATTGTCTATAAAGACCTTTGTAGGCTGGAAAGGGAAATGCAAATAAAAGTTGTGATACTTGTTTAGTAAATTTTTTCTTGTCTCTAGTCCTGGGTAGATCTCAGTTAAGACAAATACAACATCAATTCAGAAAATATCTTATCAGATTTTGCTGGAGTGGTTTAGAATATTACCTTTACTCCTTTGTACTAATGTTCCAGTTGAAACTGTAGGTGCGTCTTAGTCTGTATTTAGCATCCACTTCCTCCCTGTTGTCTTTTTGAGATATATTTATCTCTAATCATTTGTATACATTCTCATTTATGCCACTAGCTTGTATACCTTTTCATGTCAAACATATGAGCAACATATGTCTGAAACACTTCTCATAATTTTTACCCCAGTGCCATGCTCACAAGTAGGTCTTGCATACTAATAAAGTCTATTAATCTAAAAACAAGTAAACAAAGACAAAATGGCAAAAGCAAGAGAGAAAAGGTCACTTCTATCCTTTTAGGCAGATTAACGTAGATTAGAATGACAAATCCAATCTCTATCAAGAAAGCTTCCTACCCTTCCATAACAGACTTATCCCAGAATTCAGGGCATCTGCTAATGGCGCATAATACAAGCTTCCAGCTGGAAGGTCGACCAGACAGCAAGGCAGGCAGGCAGCCAAGCCCGGAGGGGCTCACTCAGGCTGCAGGCCAGCCTCCTCCTGAACCTGAAACAGGTTCAAAGGCCTCCATGATCAGCTTCAGAGCCACTTCAAATATGCATAAATATATATATATATATATATATATATATATATATATATATATATGCATGTGTGTATATAAATTGATGCAAATATATTATACATGAATATATAAACATTTGTTTAATGAATTTCAGAGGAAAGGTAAGAAAAAAGTGCCATCAGGTTCTGAATATTAGTTATAAGTGAGGTGACCATTTTGGCATGTCCTGAGTGCTACAAAGACAACTTCCTCTGGGAGGAGGGTGGTTCTTATAGAAGGGAACTGTTCAATCTCTTGACCAATGTCAAGTCTCCTCAAAGGAAAGTACACAGAGGCTGTAGTTGGTACATTCATATTTTTTAGACAGAAAGCAGGGAAAGGGCTAAAGGGAAACCCCGCTTTGTGAAAGCACCCACTCATGCACTGTCAGAGCTTGAATGCAGAGTGGCATGGGACTGAAGAGCTTGTCCTGAGAAGAGAGGGTGCATTCAGATGCACCCTACAATGGGGCATTTTGTTGATAAATTCAGACTAATCTATGTTCTAATTTCTAAAGGGCAAGGGTGGTTCCACCAGTGCTTTAAACATCACTCCATCAAATGTATGTTGATTTCAGCAATTAAAGTTTTTAAATCTTGGAATATTATCAGCTAAGAGGTTATTTCCTCAGAGCAGTCATTCCTGACCGCGAGACTAAAGTATTCACAGGAGTAGCATCCAGTCTCATGATGTTTTTGGAATGTGTGTTCTATTATCACACGTATGATTATATGTTTAAATTATTTAATATTTAGTGTATCTCTCTACCATTTAACTACATGTTCTGTGAGGGTAGGGCTATAACTTTTTTGAGTTCTCTGTTGGTAACACAATATTGGGCACATGTTAGGTCCTCAGTAAGTTATTACAAAACGTGAAGGAGACTGCACAGAAATGTTGTCTGTTGAACACACTGTCTTTCCTTGAGCAGACCTGGGAGGAGGCCAAATGTTAGGAAAGGCTGCTTCATAAAAAATAGAGTCAAAATAAAGGATTTTGTTTTATGAATTTCCTATTGTATATAATCAAGTTAAGGGATAAAGCAGGTTGAAATAAAGATATGCCTGCCTTTGACTGGGTTAGCCATTTTCCTTTTCATGGAGACAGTATGTCCCAGGAAAATCTACTTTTTCACTGAGCTAACCAACCGCCACCCATCCCAAGAGTGGGCACAGCCATTCCTCAGATATGTGATTGCAGTAGTGCCTGGGTGCTGGGCTCCTCTGTCTTTGGAGGCATTTTTGCACATCCCTGCTCAATGTATTTGGTGAATGATACCCTAGCCGACTACCTTGTGGTGCCGCTTCCCAGGTCTTTCAGGGCATTTGCTCTATGCCCTCCTGCCACCTCAAGGACTCAGTGTGCAGTTTCTCCATAATGGTTTGGTTCAACCCAAGCACCTCCAATTTCACAGACTCCAGATTATACAGACCAAAGTCTGATGGGGTCAACTCCCAGGGGCCAAGAAGTCATCTCATGCTGTATGAGTTTCAAATATCCTCTAGGGTATTATCTTACTCTTGTGTATCATGAGGCTTTTTCACTGTTGCTTATATTTTACTTCACAAGTTTTGTTGTTCTTCATTTTTTCTTTTTAAATGAAAGACAGAGAAGAGATTCTCTGAGCCTGCTGGACCGTAGACCTCCCAGGAGCTGCTGACTTTCCAAGAAGCCCCATGGTTAGAACTTCTGAAACCCAGTACCTTCTAGGAGAATAGAGAAACTGAGGGTGGGCCCTTGCTAAAATAGAATACATAAACCTACCTACATACATACAGACATAGAATATGCACAGAGAACATACATACATACATAGAGTATACACAGAGAACATACATACATACATAGAATATGCACAGAGTACAAACATATATACATACAAACATACATACATACATAGAATATACACAGAGAACAAGTTATTCAGTCTGGTTATTTTAAAAGCCTTATTGACTAATAGCTTGAAAAGGTCATTTTATGCCTTGTTACACAGCCATGGTTAAAAAAACATAGCAGGAATTTGACATACAAAATAAGCAGGCCAGGCATGGTGGCCCAAACCTGTAATCCTAGCTATTGTGGAAGCTGAGCCAGAAAAGATTGTCTGGGCCCTGGAATTCGAGATCAGCCTGGATTACACAGTGGGACTCTGTTTCAGAAAAACTCAATGACAATGAACAAAGTGTAGTGCATTGCTTTTTATTAAGTGAGCACTTATGGTGTGTCTAGTAAGTGATCAATGACAAGGGGCTTATTCAATTAAACTATTTATTGACAACTGACTATAAACAGACAAGCTATAGATGAGAGCCTACTAGTTAAAAGAAAATTAAAGAGATTCTCACATTCACTAGTAGTGATATGGATACAAATTTAGATGCCAACATATGAATTTATACTCATTAGAATGGTAAAATTAAAGAGTTCTAACATGCCAATGGAAACAGTAAGTAAAAATTCAAATGGCCATTCTGAAAAAAAGTCTTCAGTACTAAATAAAATTTAAATTATGAAAATATTTTGAATCAGCAAACCCGTAAGTCAATCAGAGAAATATGCAAAAGTCTTATTTCATTACTATGCATAGTATCTGGTCATTGAAAATAACCTAAGGATTCATCTCTAGGAGACAGGTGGGTAAAATGTGACAGGTCACCACTGTGGAATACGACAAAACACTTACACATTCTGAACTAAAGCTCATAAACAACACAGTGAGATTTTCAACAAACATAATGCTGAGGGAAAAGAGCAACACCTAGAACGAGATTTGTAACTCAGTAAAATCTGTACAAATTTATAACACAGGCAAAACATGTTATCTAGTTTGAATTTATATTTTAATAGAGAGAAAATTAAATGCTTGCTATAAAGTTCAAGAAACAATGGGAGAAAGGGAGAACGGGGGGAGAGGGAGAAAGAGAGAGAGAAAGAAAAGAGAGGGAAAGAGAGAGAGAGAGAGGAAGAAAAGGAAGGAAGGAGGGAAGGAAAAGAATAAGAAGGAGGAGGAGAAAGAAAGAGAAAAGAAAGAAAGAAGAAAAAGAAAGAAAAAGAGAAGGAAAGAGAAAAAGGAAGGAAGAAGGAAAGAGAAAGAAAGAAAGATGGGGAAGAGGCGTGGTAAGAGAGGGAGGGAAAGGAGACATTCCACAAACGCACCTTTGGCACTGGAAGAATAATATAGTACTGCAGTTCATTTTAATCCTGACTATGTAGTCATGATTTTTATCCTGAGTATCCAATTTAATAAGCACATACATGTTCCTTTGTCTATAAAATAAGGGGTATTATAATCATCATCTACCTTCTAGGATTCTTATGTAGATTAGGCATGCAAAGTGCTTCACAGATACTGGGCTGATCCTGTTATTTGGGAACACATCACGGGTAATGACCATGTATGAGATTCTAGAGGCAAGTGGTCTCAGCTTGAGAATAGCTTTACAAATTACGTCAAAGAATTACGCAGTCAGTTGTGGCCAGCCAATGGAGGTTAATAGTCAAGGACATGGAATGATCGGAATCTGTGTTTTAGAAAATAAGACAGGTGGCATGGCATGGATTTGAAAGGAATCAGGGAACCAATTATGAGGCTACTTTTGTAGCCAGGGAAGGGAGAGGCAGGTTCAAAGGTAAGGACAAGGCAGAATTTAAGACTGATCACTGACCGGGTATCCAAAAGAAGAGAGAGACTCGTCAATGACTATCCGAAAATATTAGCTTGTGGATCTGATTGGAGTATTTCACAAAGGAACTCGAAAGAAGAAGGGAGGGAGGCAGGAAAGGAGGCAAGAAAGAAGAGAAGAGAATTCACTGCCACCCAAAGAGCTGAATAACCCTAAAAGGAAACGCAACATCAAAGTCTGAAAAGCTACACATTGGTATTTTTCATATGACTCTTTTCACTTCTGGTTTCCCTTTTCATTAGTTGCTGAAAAATTCCTCAACATTTATCCTATGCTTTCCACATTTTGAGTGTAGCTGACTGGGTCCCAGATGGGTGGTTTAACGTATTTCATTGTCCTGCATATTTCCTGAAAAACCATAGTTAGATCTCAATCGGTACTCTCCATTAGAAATGTAATGTGAGCCACATAAAGAATTTTAGGGCGGGGGCCGGGCCTGCACCCTGGGTGGCCTTTCCACGTGTCGCGAGGACCACATCGCGGGTCTCCCGTTGCCGCGGTGCGCCACGGAGCGCGAGTCTGAGGCCGAGGGAGTCATGGCAGGACAGGCGTTTAGAAAATCTCTCTCACTCTTTGACCGAGTATTGGTTGAAAGGAGTGCTGCTGAAACTGTCACCAAAGGAGGCATTATGCTTCCAGAAAGATCTCAAGGAAAAGCATTGCAAGCAACAGGAGTCGCTGTTGGATCGGGTTCTAAAGGAAAGGGTGGAGAGATTGAACCAGTCAGCGTGAAAGTTGGAGATAAAGTTCTTCTCCCAGAATATGGAGGCACCAAAGTAGTTCTAGATGACAAGGATTATTTCCTATTTAGAGATGGTGACATTCTTGGAAAGTACGTAGACTGAAATAAGTCACTATTGAAATGGCATCAATGTGAAGCTGCCCATTCCACTGAAGTTCTGAAATCTTTCATCATGTAAATAATTTCCATATCTCTCTTTATAATAAACTAACGATAACTGATGACATTTAGTGTCTCCAAAATTGTCTCCTTGTACTGATATAAACATTTCCAAATAAAAATATATAAACAACAACAACAAAAAAATTTTAAATGTTCTAGGAGCCACCTGGAAACAGTACAAATAAAACGTCAAAATTAATTTTGTAACAGCTTTATGAAGATAATTAACATATAACGGAATGCACATATTAAAGTGTCCAATTTGAAACCATCGTCGCCATCAGTATGCTGAGCCCACCCCCAAAAGTCCCCGTGCACCTCTGCGCCATCCCCTTCTCCTGACAATCCCGCTTCTCCGGGTCCCAGGCAGCTCCTGATCCACTTCCACTACAGTTTAGCTTGTATTTTCTAGAATTTCATGTAATTGGAATCATATGATATGTACACTTTTTTGGTCTGGCTTCTTTTGTCAGCATAACTGTTTTAAAGTTCATCTACGTTGAGGCATATGTCAATAAATATTTCAATAGTTAATTGAAGTTTTTGCTTGGAATTTTTCCCTTGTGTGGATATATACGTTTGCTATTCGCCAGTTGATGGACTTTTGGGTTATTTCAAATTTGACTCAATAAGGGTGCTGTGAACATTTCAGTACAGAAAGAAAAGTCAGGAGGTGGAATGACTAAGAGGCAAGAAAAATTTTACATAATAGTGACACATTTTTGCAAATTAGAGAAAACAGAGCATATTGTAAGAAAGCAAAAATAGTGCCAAAGTGAATTTTCTGGAGGAAATCATTGTTTATATTTTTCATTCTCAAAAGCACTCAATATATTTATGACTTTACTAGAACTAATTTGACAATTTATATTTTAATTACCAAACATGTGAAAGATACTTCTACCACAATTCTCTAAAACTGCAAGGTGTTTCTATTTAGATCCCCCATAAAATAAACTCATACTAATAAACAGGGAAACTGTAGCAAAAGGGACTTTGACACTTTCAGCATACTGAAATTTCAAGGCAGATGGAGGAGCCAAATTTATTTTAAAAAAAAAAGAAAGAGAGAAAGAAAAAAAGAAAAGAAAGAAACGGTTCTTTGTATCTAAATCAATTATAAAATTTATTTTTGAAAGGACATTGAGTCAGCTGACATCATTTTGGTCAACTCCATTAATGGTCCTTAGCCTGCACTAAGCCCTTTAAATTATATCCACTAGTTTGCAATGACCTTGCATTTTGGAGATTCAACAATTGCTGAATAAGTGTCTCTGTGAACTACTCCAATTAGGAGTTTTTCAGTGTTCATGAACATTTTTTAGTTTCAACTTTAATTAATTTTAATTGGATTCACTTTCACATAATCAATTTGTTCCCTTAAAATGTAAATGCCAAAGTTCACTGCTATCCATGTCAGAGGGAAGATGGCAGATATGGCAGCAGAGTATTTAAAAAATAGAAAAGGTGAAGTCATCCCTCATAGTCCAATAGGGAAGATGAAGGGAGAATGAAGATAGAATACAAATGTAAAAGTCTGTAAGTGAATACATCTGCCAGGCTATCAGGTGAATTGCAGTGTTGGGTTTTGCAGTTGCCAAGGTTTGGGGAAATCTGGCTTCCAACACTGGGCCAGAGCTGCAGGCTGGTGACAAAGGACTGTGCCAAGAGCACAGGAGAGATGCCCTGGCTGAGGATACCTCAGTTGGGTTCTGCGAACCTTTGTTTGAATTCTCCTGTTCTGTCTTAACCAGGGCGAGGAAGATGGGAGCCAGTGTGCATGTGGATAGAGTCACCTGGGGTGCATGATTTTTTTTTTTTTTGGTCTTATGTCTCCTTCCTCACTTGAAGCCACTTTTTCCAGTGACCCAGCATTTCCCATTTGTAAAATTCTTCCTAAGCATTTCTGCAGTCACTGAAGGCCTGTGTTTAACAGTGAAGGAGAAAAAGAAGAAGGAGGAGGAGGAGGAGGAGGAGGAAGAGGAGGAGGAGGAGGGGGAGGAGGGGGGAGGGGGAGGGGGAGGAGGAGGAGGAGGGGGGAGGGGGAGGGGGGAGGAGGAGGGAGAGGGGAGGAGGAGGAGGAGGGGGAGGGGGAGGGGAGGGGAGGGGGAGGGGGAGGGGGGGAGGAGGAGGAGGAGGAGAAGAAGAAGAGGAATTATTAATGGTTCTGGAGACCCTGTGTGAGTGAAATAGTCTGGGAGTTCCTTAAGACAAGACTCAAAGTCCTCATCAGAGTAGGCTGTTCTCCAAACATTTCTTCTTGGAAGATGTCATCAGAACTTTCAGAAGAGCTTACACACACACGCCCATGCATGCACGCACGCACACTTCTGCTTGGCTGCTGTGTCATTCCACAGATAAGATTAAAATTTAGCAAGTCTGGAAAACGATCTTCAATCCGTGCTTTCAAATGCTTCCCACAACTGCTTGGGCAGTTTTATTAACCAATGAGCTAGACAACACATTTGTGACTTCTTCAACCGTACAGGATGATTGAAAATTACTGGTGCTAAATCAGTATTGGTATTGATTTATCATGCTTTCTCATGAAGATAAATAATAATTTCTTTTAGAAATACGTTTAACATTTCCCCCTTACGATTCAAAGAGAAACAATTCCTTTGTTTCAACATTTTATTTTTCTCCAGATTACTCATCTGATCCTATCCTGTTTGAGCTATTTGGCTGATAAGCTCAAACAAGAAACCCATATTTTCTTATGAAAATTAGATTTTAAATCAGCTTATTTACTTGTTCACACATGGTACTATTTTCACATGCACACACAAACATGTTGCACTTATATTTGCACCTGTATCTCTGATGAAATTTCATAGGACTTGTCAACATAATTGTGACAATGGCAATTACTATATTTATTTTGCAATTATTTTCCTTTCCAAAACAAGCTCTATCATTAAACACATACTCTTCAAGGGTATGATTTTCAGTGAATAATTTAGTTCCACCTTCTCTCTGAAGTCTCTTCCACTCTCATGTTAATCTGTATCATAGCATTTTCTCCTTGGATCAGTCATTTTATAATGAATTGAAAATTGGCTCATATCTTCATGAATTGCCTAATTTGAAAATACCATTATCCCATGTTTTCCCTCAAAGAAATGTCTACATGATAATATGACAGAAACAATATGATGCATAGATAGGTAGAGAGGTAGGTAGGATGATAGATAGATAGATAGATAGATAGATAGATAGATAGATAGATAGAAACTATATAATATATGTGAATATATGACCAGGAGAGGTGATCACTTCCAGGAAAGATGTTTGTTTCAAGGAAAGGGATACGTAACCAGGGAAGGTATTAATTTAAGTAAGGTGTACCTGATAGACTGGAGAATAACCCAGTCAAATTAAATTTAGGTTTATGTTTTGCATAGCAGCCTAGATACACTAACTAGGTAAGAGACTTACTTCCACACCCTCATCTCACAGATTATTCACTTTTCTTTCTCAGCATACTTAATTTCTGTTATGAATTTGTTGAGAGACAGAAGTAAACCTCATGGATATAAATTTTAGGTTTATTTATGTTTTCACATTTATGCCCTTTCCCTTTCCCACATAATTCCTAACCTAAGCAGAGACCATAAATGTGTAGTGATATCCCTGCCAAACCTCCACAACTGAGTCCTGGAGGTTACCAATAAATATGCATCACATGAATTAATGAGCATCAAACAGGTTGAGTAAAAGTGAATGGGCCTACATCCACCTCTTTCAAAATTTAGTACAAAGGTACAATAATAAAGCACTGGGATGAGACTGGACATCAACGTCAGTGGAATGAAATTGAGACTTCAAAAAAAAAAAAAAAAACAAAACAAAAAAACCTCTTACATGTATTAGCCAACTGATTTCCAATAATGTGCAAAGATCATCCAATGAGAAAAGAAAAGCTTCTTAAACAAATGGTGCCAGGACAACTGGAAATCCACAGCAAAAATAGCTAACTAACCAGATAAATAAATACAGTTGGCCTCTACAACATGACATGTACAAAAGTTTACTCAAAAGGAACCAAAGATCAAAATGTAAAAACTAAAACTATTAAATTCCCAGAAGAAAATTTAGGAATGAATCTTGAGATCTTAAATTAAGAAATAGTTTCTTAGCTATGACACCAAAATCGTAAGCATCATAAAAATGCTAATTACATGCAAACTTAAACTAGAATGAGTTATCCCTTCACATGGAGTAGGAGGGCTATTTAAAAACAGACAGACACTAACAAGCATCGATGAGAATGGGGATAATTCATGCGTTGTTGGTGGGAACGTGCAACAGTTTTGGAAAACAGTTTGTGATTCCTCATGATATTAGTCCATATGACCCAGCAATTGCACCCCTAGATGTATATCCAAGTAAATTGAAAACATATGTTCATATATACACTTGCACATGAATGTTAATAGCAGCCTGAGTCGTAATAATAAAAACAATGGGAACATCAAGATGTTCACTAAGTGATAAATGGATAAATACAATGCAGTAAAACCATACAATGGAATATTATGCATCTGTGAAAAAGCATGAAGCACACAGGAATGCCACAATATGGATGAACCTTGGCAGCATTATACCAAGGTAAAGAAGTTAGTCATATAAGACCACAGATTTTATGACTCCATTTATACTAAATGTCCAAAATAGGGAAGTTCATAGAGATAGAAAACACAGTAGTGTTTTCCAAGGGCTGAGAGGAAAGGAGAATGAGGAATGACTGTTAATGGTTTAGTTTCTTTTGGAGATAATGAAAACATTCTGAAATTAAATAGTGGTGATGGTTGCACACATGTGTAAGTAGACTAAAAACCACTAAATTATATACTTTAAAAGGGTAATTATTATGTTATGGGAATTATATCTCAATTTATTTATTAAAAACAATGGGGATCAAATAAATTGTCATTAAATAAGTTCTGACTTTAAAAAAAACAATACCATAGTCTGGGCATGGTGGCTTTTGCCTGTAATCCCAGCACTTTGGAAGGCCAAGGGGGGTGG